TCTGTTTGAAAGATCAGAACAGCTTAGCATCGTTAATCTTTGTCTCGCATGATAACCGGTGATGCCTGGTAACAAGTGCAGGTAATAATCGATAATAACGGGATCAACAGTAGTGCTCGTAATGTAGACGACCTGTGTACGGGGCATTTTCAATAACATCAACAGGCAAAGCAAACGCTCTTCATAATAATTAATGCCTTCGATGTGGGAAAGAATATCCTGGTCAAGTGTAAGACCTGGCACGATCACTACCGTACGTGGAGCAAGCCTGTCGGGAAAGATGTCGCGAAACTGTGTAGCAAAACGGTGTTGCAATTCCTTAAACTGGCTGATTTCTTCTGGTGAACCGGGCAACGGGTATTCTTTTACTTCAGCAGGAAGTAATGCATCCATTCCTTTTGGTTCTGGAAAGAAATATGACATGCAACCGTTTTGGGAAAGGTAGAGTCAGAAAATTCTGTGCACGCTGATTTGAGTGAAGCTGGATCGTGATTTTTGTCAGCCATCCTGTCCCGATGTCTTAATGAGCATCGCACGCGAAATATTCCTGATAGTTAAATACGTGCTGTATAAAGCAACGATCAGCGCCAAAAATAACCAGGCACCGATCGCACCGGTAATGTAATAAGTGATGATAGCAAAGGCGAAAAATAACACAGCGAATATGCCAGCATATAATGCATTGGCGAAATAGGATGCCCTAAACTCCTTCTTGATGGCTTCAACCAATTGCCAGGCTTCTTTTTCACCGACTTTTTGCTCATGGACCAAAAAATGAAACGTTTTATCTGGTCCATTAACCATAAAATGATCAATGGACTGTACAACCAATGCCTCGTCTATCCCAAGTTGTTTGGTGCGGCTGACTATTTCTATATAGGGATCGTTGATCATAATTTTTTTCAAGCTTCCTGGCCCATCCAAAGTGCACCTCCGACACTGGCACGTGAAGCGCCGGTGACGGAGGGAATAACATTATATTCTTCGCGCCACCGCAGGACGCCGATAAGCGCCATGACCAGTGCTTCTTTATAATTTACCAGCTTTTCACCCGGGATGATCACTTCGGTATTGAGGAGTTGAAGTTGTTCCTTCACCCTGGTCATTAAAAACGTGTTTAACGCGCCACCACCGGTCGCCAATAAACGCAAAGGACGGTCACTACCCGGTCGCTGTTCGCGTAATTGTTCAACAGATTTATGTAACTGTATTGCGATATGTTCACAATATGTTCTCAATGCATCAGGAACTGGCAACGCCGCTTTTTTTATAATGGGAAAAACTACATCAGTACCAAAATCATTCGCGAGTGATTTCGGATAGGGTTGACTGTAATAAGCTAATCCATTCAATGACGCAAGCAATGCGTCATTAATACTACCACCGGCGGCGATCGTGCCGCCTTTATCATACGCCTGTCCTATTTCACCGGCAAGCATGTTGAGTACGCGGTTGGCGGGGCAAACATCAAAAGCGACGTAATTGTCTGCATTAACAGAAATATTGGCGATACCACCGAGGTTGAGAAAAAAATCATAATCGCCGAGTAACAATTTTTCACCAATGGGAACGATCGGCGCTCCCTGGCCTCCCAATGCAACATCAAGTGCACGAAGATCAGACACAACCGGAAGTTTGGTAACGGCGGCAATGGCGGAGCCATCCCCTAACTGGGCAGTCATACGACGGGAAGGAACATGAAATGTCGTGTGTCCATGCGAAGCAATCAGCGCCACTTTATATTGCAACCCATGGGTATCGATAAAACGATTGACCTGTTCACCGAGATAATGTCCATACTCCGCATGTAATAACTGGTATTCGTATCCATTTAGATGAATAGCTTGTTGCAATCGGTTTATCCACTCGTCGGTATACGGGTAACAATCTGCTTCCAGTATTTCGTAGGACCATTTACCACCATTCTCATGTAACTCCACAAATGCGATATCGAGGCCATCGAGCGAACTTCCGCTCATTAATCCAATCGTCCTGTACAACATGTGATTTATATTTTAGCTCCCGCTATGCTCTTCGGGAGCCATTTTATTATAGTTTTGCCAAAAGTACAAGGTTTTGCAACGTAGTTGGGTCACCTGCACTATCGTCATCTAAAATCGGCATTATCATGATCGTAAACCTGAGCCAGCAACATTCCCTTATCAGTAATTGGGTTAGTGAACTGCGTGATGTCAATGTGCAGAATGATCGCATGCGATTCCGTCGCAACCTTGAACGAATTGGAGAAGCAATCGCTTACGAGA